ACCTGTCAGCCAAAACCTGGAGCGCCCCCCGAGGCGCAGGGGCCTGGGAGAGTAAGGCCCAGGGCCCAGGTCTCTCCTGCTGGCGACACCGCTGGCCCAGGAGCGGACGCGGCCGCTTTAAGGCGCGGTGACCCCCGGCCTCCGCGGGCGGGGCGGGGACAGTGTGGGCGTCCGCGGCACCGGCGCAGGCGAATGCGAGGGAGGTAGAGCTCGGCGTCCGGCCCCACCATGCTGATCGCGCTCGCCCCGCCAGCCCTGCCCGGGCTCGCAGGTCAACTACCCTCGGCCCCCGCGCGGCGCCAGGACTCCTCCGGTTCGTCAGGCTCCTACTACACGGCTCCCGGTTCCCCAGAGCCCCCGGACGTTGGGCCGGACGCGGAGGGCCGGGCAAATTGGCCCCGGGTGGCCCCTGCGCTGGGGGCGGGGGCGCAGCTTCGCCTGTCCATCAGCGCCCAGAATAGCCGCCAGCAGCTCCAGCCCGGCTCGGGTTTCCCGCGAGGCCCGGGCGCAGGCCCGCGGCCGCCCCAGCCCCAGCCCCAGCCCCAGCTGCGCATGCTGCCGTCGGGGGAGATGGAAGTCATCTTCGGCGCCGGGGCCCTGTTCAGCCCCTCTGACTCGGCGGACAGAGAGGTGCAGCAGCTCACAGCGCGGGCTTTCCACAGCCTCTCTCCGCCCGCGTCCCCCACCCCCGCCGCACCGCAGCCCCAGCCCCCCGACGGTGGCTCCCGCTGGGCCACCTACCTGGAGCTGCGGCCCCGCGGGCCGAGTCCTGCCACCCCAGCGCAGTTCGAATGCGTGGAGGTGGCGCTGGAGGAGCGTGCCCTGCCTGCCAGGTCCCGGACGGTGCCCAAGCGTCAGATCGAGCTGCGCCCCCGGCCCCGGAGTCCTCCGCGGGAGGGGGAGGCAGGCGCACCGCGCCCGCGCCCGCTCCTGCGCACCGGCTCCCTGGACGAGTCGCTGGGCCGCCTGCAGGCCGCCGCGGGTCTCGTGCAGACGGCTCTGGCCAGGAAACTGAGCCCCGCGGCCCCTGCCCCCAGCGGCGCCACCTTCAGGCCCGCGGAGCGGCCACAGCCTGAGACCCGGACACCGGTTCGCAGTACCCGAGGGGTCCAGGAGGACGGCAGGTCTCGCCCGCCCCGCGTGCACTACAGTTCAGCCCCTGCCCGGGTCCCACGGCCCTGGCCCAGCCTCCGCGAACGCGCGATTCGTCGCGACAAGCCCGCGCCCGGGACTGAGCCACTGGGTCCGGTTAGTTCAAGCATCTTCCTGCAGTCAGGGGAGAAGACCCAAGAAGCGCACAACCAGGAACTCAAAGCTAAGTTCCCAGGAGACGCTCCGGATCGAACCGTTCTGAGGCCTTTCGAGTCCAGGGAGCCTTGGGAAGTCCCGAGTAAGGCTGTGAGGCCAAGGAGCCCATCCCCGCCGAGGCCGGCTCCCAATGGAACCCTGCAGACTTCTCTCGGCCCACCCCCCCGGAACCTGTCCCCGCGGAGGCCGGCTGCTCCGAGGGTGAGTAGTCCCTCCTCCCCGAAGGAATCCTCCGCGTGGGAAAATCAGGATCCCACCGTCGAGGAAACCGTCAGCAGGAGGAGCCCTTCCCCTGCGACCCTTTCCCAGTGGAACCCGGGTGCTGCCAAGGCAAGAAGCCCATCCCCTGAAGCTCCTTCGCCGTGGGAGGTTCAGCACCCCACAATCGGAGCTACCATCGAGGGGAATAGGAGCCCGTCCCCGCCGGCCGTGTCCTCATGGGAGGCTCCAGATCGTCCTACTGGGCCGTGGAGTCCATCGCCCCAAGAGAGGTGGGGTCCCCAAATGCAAGGTTCCTCGATAGTCTCTCCGCAGGAAGCTCTGAATGGCGCAGTCCAGGCGCCGCCTACACCACCCGCACCCCGGACTCCAGAGCTAACAGAGGCGCAGAGTCCCTCCGCACCGGACGTGCCGGATCTTGCCTTCCGAGACAGTCAACCGTGGCCAGAGGTGGCTGCACCCGCGCTGCCCCTCAGTCGCCTCATGGGCACCATGGATTCGGATGCGCCCCCGGAAGCCTTGGGCTCTGGAGAAGCTGCCTTGGGCCCTGGACCAGCGGCCTCCGGACGCCCGCGCGTGGCTATTCCGCGGCCCCGTGACATGCGCAAGATGGTGAAGACCACGTACGCGCCGAGCTTCCCGGCGGGAACCCCCGGCTCAGGGCTGCCTGCGCCTCCTGCGGATCATGCGGATCCCCGCCCCGAGAAGGGTGGTGCATCCAAGACGCAGGAGCTCCAGGCGCTGGGGACCCCCGCCCCGGCTCACTACACTTCCGTTTATCTCAAGGACTTTCTGCCTGTCGTGTCGCACCCCTACGAGCCTCCAGAGCCACCCGCCAACACAAACCCCCGGGACGCTTCGCAGCCCAACGGGGTCCTGCGGCGGAGGGCAGAGAACAGCACTGCAAAACCCTTTGCGCGCACTGAGATCCGCCTGCCTGGTGCCTTGGCCTTGGGCCACGGACTGACGGAAACCCGGGGAGTCCTGGTGCGCGGTCCTGGAGGAGAGAACCGAGTTATGGAGGCCCAGCGCCTTGTCTCCGACGGCGAGGGTCCGATCAGCCCGTTAGGTGGAGCTCTCTCCTTACCCCAGCGGTCGTCCGTAGGGCCAGCAGGGGCCCACCCAGCCGGCCCATCCCGCCCCAGCTCCCCTCAGGCGCATCCTAGCTCGAGCCCCGGGAGAGCACCCAAATTGGAGACTCCCCCTTCTGTCCCCGAGCCTGCCACTGCGGTCCAGTCGCCCCATCCGCGGGAGCCCCAGGCATTGGCGGGCAGAATGGCCCCGCCCCAGCCCCGCGCAGCATCGGCGCCTCCGATGGACCGGTCCCTGGAAGGCCCCTCCCAAGGGGCACGCAGGCCACCCGGGGCCGCGAACACGGGGAAGGTCCTGGTGGACCCCGAGAGCGGCCGCTACTACTTTGTGGAGGCGCCGCGGCAGCCTCGGCTACGGCTGCTCTTTGACCCCGAGAGCGGGCAGTACGTGGAGGTGTTTTTGCCGCCCTCGCCCCCGGGGCCACCCCGACGCATCTACACCCCGCTGGCCCTGAGTCCCGGCCTTTACCCGCCCGCTTATGGGCCTATCCCCGGCCTCTCACTGCCACCATCCCCAGGCCGGCAGCCTACAGCGGCGCCCAGCTACCCTGGGCTTCCGAGGCGGGCCCCTGAGGAGGATGTACTACCCTGCCAGTGAGTGGGACCCCCAGCCCCGCACCTCCTCTGCTCCTCTGCGCTCCTCCCACCAGCGTGGGTCCCGCCCAGCCTGGCAAGAGCTCCTTGTTCCCTGTGTGAGGCCCCAGGGCCTGATCCCCATGGTGTTGGGGCCTGCCGATGGCTTTCAAGGTTCAGGCATCCAGTCCCCTGCCCTTCTTTTCTTCTGTCACCTTTTTTACCCATCTCATCGAGTCCTGAGACCGGAAGTTATCTTCAGAGAATGTATCTGGGACCCCGGGGGCTGATGGAACTGGATCTCAGGAAGTGACTGCCTGCCTTCTACAACATTGTATACCCCTTTCCCAAGCATTCCCATGAGTGTGGTGTGTTTGTGTGTGTGTGTATGTGTGTGTAAAAGTGAGGCGTCTCAGGATTGTCCCCAGGAACTGACCTGAAGGGTTGTTGGGGTTCCCTAGCAGGGGACCGGGCTGCCCCCAGAGGTAGTAGCTGTCTGCCCCTCCCTGAAAGGTGGGCCCAGGTGAGGTGGAGCAGGCTAGTGAGCACCAGCGGGCTGGAGGGAGAAGGACTCTGGCTGTCAAGTCTGCTATTCTTTGGAAGAGGATCTAAGCCTTGGCCTGGGAGGCTGTAGCTAGTGCAGCCAGGCCAGGCTGTATCTGAGAAAGGGAGCTGTGGGGACAAGCAGGTGAAGGTGGAGCAGGGAAGTAATATAGGAGGGGCTGTGGAGGGTCAGCCTGGGATATGGGGGGTAGTGGAGGGAGGTGGGGAAGTGAGTGTAGTCCCTAGCTGGGAGCTCCGCCCTTTATTCTCCTCTCAACCCTAGCCTCTGACTTGGCTTCTCTAAGCCCTCAGAGCTAAGCTGGCTCTTCCTGGGGCCAGGAATGGGGGCTTCAGTCATTCCCATCCTGGGTAGGGAGCAGATGGAGCAAGTCATCAGGAAGGACTTACAAGCAGGGAGAATGGTTGAGCTATTGTCCCAGAGGAGCCTCTTGACCCCTCTGGGTGGGGTAGAGGGTTGGTCAGGGCTGGCAGTAGAAAGGGTGCCCCTGTATGGGGCAGGCCAGAGAAACTCGGACCCCTCAGCTGGTTTTACTCCCCCAGTAACAGATGTGGCAGCCATGCCCAGAGAGCTGCTGGCTATGCAGGCTGGTCACAGCACCATAAGGGACAGGGCCAGAGCATGTGTTCCAATTGCCCTAAGATTCAGAGCCTCTGGGGAGGGCAGAGGAAGATGCATGGAGTGAGTGGGAGGTGCTTTGTATGGGTTCTGTGTAAAGTTCTAAGCTTGAAGTGCCTGGGCCTTGCTGGACAAGTATGTGATGTGCTGAGTTTGGGGAAGAAGAGTGGCCATTAGAAGCAGTGTTAGGGATGGAAATGGATGCCTAAAGTTCCATGCCCCTGGGGGGCCTGGGTCCTTTGGAGCCCCTACCCCCCTGCCTTGAACTAGAAGTTGACTGGGAGAACTATGAGCCAGAAAAACCTGGACATCTTTTTATAGTTGGAGATGCTGTTTCCAATAACATGGAGGGCCCTGGGCTCGTACCTCATCCTGGTGAGCAATAAATCACTGACCCAATGAGCTGTGATGGCTAGAACAACTGGTGTAAGGTGTCTGATTTCCTGCTGTGGCCCTTTAACATCCCACAATGCCCTTTCATGCCCAGGTACAGCCTGGGTCTAGTGAACCATAGGGCTCAGGGAAGAAGACCATGAGTGTCTTTCATACACAGTGGTGTCCCTACCTCAGTGAATTTGCCTCCCAGGAAGGGGCCCTTAGGCTGGCATCATTCCTCCTGGTGGCTGAGTGGCCAATGGGCTTTGGGGTCAATCAGGCCTGGGTTCCAATTTCAGCATGGCCCCTCTAGGTATGTGGCCTTGGATTTGTCACTTCTCTCTGAGCCTTTGTGTCCTTGGGGGTAGACTAAAGATGACAGTAACCAACCACTTCCTCCCCCAAGGTATTCAGCACAGTACCTGCCCTGTGGCCAGATTCCAGGCTTGGGAGGTATTAGCCCCCATGTGTCCTTGCCCAGGCCCAGCCACTCTCCTTGCCTCATTGTTCTCTACCTGTGAAATGGAGCTAAGTTGGCGGGAGCTGGGGTCCCACCAGAGGAGAGGCACATGTGGTGTCTCCTGGGGGAAGGGAGAAAATGGGAGGGGTGAGGTGTCAGTTCCCCATTGGTCTGGGTCAGGCGTTCTGGGGAGGTCCCCACTGCACACACAAGTACATTTACATCCCAACCACAGCCCATGCTCACTGAGCCGGCTCCAGAAACCATGAGGCCGTCACTGCTCCTGCTGCTACTGGGGGCTTGGGCTATCCCAGGGGGCCTTGGGAATAGGGCTTCGCTCACAGCCACTGCCCCACAGCTGGACGATGAGGAGAAGTATTCAGCTCATATGCCTGCTCACCTTCGCTGCGATGCCTGCAGGGCGGTGGCCTACCAGGTGAGTCCCTTCCCCCAGCAGTTCCCCTGCCCAGTCCTCCTCAAGTCAGAACCCTCCAGCTACCTCAGATTCCACCGCTGGCCTTTGATCCATCTCCAAACCCCTACCCCCAGGCATCCAGCTAGACTCAGCCTTCCATGATATTGCCATCTTCACCTCCAGGCCTCAGTTTACTCATCTGTCTGCCCAACAGAGACCGGACGATCTGGGACACCCCACAGTATCTTGAGACTCCAGGGAGTCACCAGTTTGTCGCCTCAGACTCCTCCCTTTCCAGGCCCATCCTCAGGCCTGGACTCCTTCCTAAAATATGACGGCGGAGCACTGGTGTATGTGTGCATGTGCTGAGTGTATGACTATATGAGCATGTGTGTGTCTGAGTTCACACACAGACTTGTCAAGTGCGCCTGAGTACCTATGAGTACTCATGTCGTTGAGGAGTGGACTATGGTTTTGTTTTGTTTTTTTCTTTCCGTGTGTTTGGTTTGTGGTTTAAAATAGCATTTGTTGATGGGCAGGTGTGCCCTGGGGGAGAGACCCCTGTGCCTAATTCTAACGTTCCACCTCAGCATTTCCCACCCACCCACTCGGTCCCAGGAAAGTGATCCTGCCTCAGCTGGCCAGGTCCCAGCATTTGGGACCTGGGGGAAGAGCCTGAGGCCTGCCTCACAGGTGCTTCCTGCTCAAAAACCTCCCTTGGCCACCTCATTCTCCCCGAAAGGCCCAGGTTTCTATCCTCCCCTCCCCCACACTGAGCAGTCCCTAAGCCCTGACTCTCAACCCCTCCTTGTTCCAGATGTGGCAACATCTGGCAAAGGCAGAGGCCAAGCTTCACACCCCTGGGGGGCGTCAGGAGCTGAGTGAGTCGGTATATACAGACGTCCTGGACAGAGCTGCTCCAGACTGCAGAGTGAGTTGAAATCGGTCCTACCTTCCTCTCCGGGGCAGGGCTTGTGGGTGGAGGTCCCCACTCTCCCACTCATACCACACACACTCTCACCAGGGCTCTGGTTCAAGGTAGGGGGCTGGTTGGGACCAAGTCTGAGCTCTAGAGCTAGGAGCAAGTAGAAGGGTAGGTGGCCAAGGGACAAGTTCATGGTCCAGGAGCTTCCCCTCTCTGGTCCTCTGTTTTCCATCAGGGAGGATCAGAATCTGGGCACTGAACTCAGCAAAGGCCCAGTGTGCCCAGTTTCATGTGGAGACAGGTCCCCACTGGCCAGGCTCTCACTAATGCTGTGTCCTCACTGCCTCCAGCTACGGGGTCCGAGAAGTGAACCAGGTGAAACATCTCATGGGCCCAGGACTTAGCCATGGGCCAGAGCCAAGCGTCAGCGTGATGATCACGGGGGGCCCCTGGCCTACCAGGTAGGACGGGAGGGTGGGGGTGAGATGGAATCCTTGGAACCTTAGTCTGCCCCCCGTGGGCCGGCAGAGTTTGAAGCTCCAGTTGGACTCCCCTAGGCTCTCCACGACATGTTTGCACTACCTGGGGGAGTTTGGAGAAGACCAGATCTATGAAGCCCATCAACAAGGCCAAGGGGCTCTGAAGGCATTGCTGTGTGGAGGCCCCCGTGGAGTCTGCTCAGAGGAGGCACCAGTCACAAGGGCAGAGCTCTAGTCCAGCTCCTGCTTCCCCTTTGTGGTCAGCCCCTGAAGACAGAGGGAGCTTCTTCTGGATCTGTCCCCCTCCTTTCTGCAAGGCTGCTGAGGACAAGGAGAACTTGCTCACTTAGGCTGCCACTCTCTCTCCTCCTCCAGCTTTGGGGCCCTGGGGCCTGGGCGAGGGGCCAAGGCCTTCCCCTCTGGACTCAAATAAAACTCAGTGACCTCAATTCCTTCTCTCTGCAAAATGTGCTTGGGGGGCTGGGAGGACAGATATTGGTGTTTCTGCTGATGTTGCTCCTAGAGAGGGCCAAATACACATCCCTGCAAATTTCCCAGAAGTAAGTGAGATCTGTCCTGGTTAGAAATGTCAGTGAGCAGTCAAAGACATACAGATCCAGTTATGTGAATGGGAAACCCCAGATCCATCATGAGAAAGAAGAAATACCTTGGGAAACTCCATAAGCAGGCCACTTTGTGGACACGCCTCCTGCAGTCACTGGGTGCTATCAGCTGTTGGTGCCCCTCCCAGAACAGCAGTCTCACTGGGTCTACACCCAGCAGCTGCTCACTTTCTAGTCTCTGTCTCTGACCCCAGCTGGCATGGTTGGGCCCTAGGTGCCTGCCTTGGACAGGGTGGGGCAGGGTTCCTGGAATGGGCTGGTTTTAGCTTCTTGGCTCTAAGTCCTGCTCTCCCTGGAAGTTCTTCTGTCCTGGGCTTTTCCCTTTAGCAAAAGGACAAAGGGCCCCACCTGGGGCCTACCTGGGTCAGTTTCCTTTGTGAGTGTCTCTCTGAGCCTTCAAACCCCTGGGAGGTGGACAGAACAGACTCTAATCCCCAGATGACAGATGTAGACACCAAGGCTTAGACAACAAAAGAGGCTCAGGACAAGCCCCAGGCTGAAAAGTGGCAGGACTTCGAGGTGATTCAGATTTGGGGGGTGGGGAAAGGTCATTGCTGGAGGAATAGGGGTACCCCAAGCATGCCCTGACCTCTCCAGCTTTCCTGAGCTACACTGCAGCCCAGCCCCCTATATTCTATCACCTGTTCCTGATCTGCCTGAGCCACCCCCCTGTGTGGTGCTCCTGCCAAAAGAAACCTGTAGGCACCAGGAAAGGACCCAGGGCACAAGGAACTGCCGAGCTGTATCGGGTGTGGAGTTGGGAGCCTGTGACGTCACCCAGGCTTTATGTGGAGTCTGCATCTGAATCTGGGTGTTGTGAGTCCTTTGTGTGATTATATCTGAGACCCTGTGCAACCCAAGGCTTTGTCTCTGTGTGATTGAACTGAGTGTCTAGGGGACTGGAGAAGGCAGGGCCCCCTGGGGAGCACTGGGGAGGAGGGGGTGGGAAGGAAAGTGCTGAGGAGCAGCTCTGAAGCTTCAAACTGGTCAGACGACTTTGGGAACCTGGGAGCAGAAAGCCAAGAAGGGAGAGGAGAGAACAGGCGGACAGAGGAGCAGGCTGGAGGCTGGACAGGCGGACGGATTCAGGGCTGTGGCATGAAGCTACTTCCCAGCTGGAGAGCGGTGCTGCCTGTGGGCGCTCGGGGCCGGGTCTGGCCATGGGCACAACAACCCAGAAGTAGGTGGACCCTGGGGGGCTGGGCCTGGGGCAGCAGTGTGGGGGGCAGAACCTCAGCCCCTCGGACCCTCCAAGCCCCTCTCAACCAGCTCCAGGCCCCATGGCCAGACTGGGCTGGACCTTCCAGGAGGCAAAGACAGGCTGGGCCTAGGGCTGGCTTCGGGGGCTGTGTGACATGCAGTCACACAGGGCCTGGCACTTGGAAAGGCTCCAGGCTGTGTTTAATGTTCTGCTGTTACTGTCTTGAAAATTCATCATACTTTTGGGACAGGGGCCCTGCATTTTTGTTTTGGATTGGGTCCTGGCTGGGAGGGGAAGGGACTCCTTTGACACAGGGGACAGCAAGGCCAGGCCAGCCTTGGTAGCTCCTCCAGAGTGCCTCAGGGACCATGAGGTGAGTGGCAGCGGTGGGGAGGGTGGTGCCTTATTACATTTAATGTATAATTTACAGCATAAATGCGGGAGTTCAGGAGTTCAGGCCCGCCTGAATTTTAGGAATGGTTTTCTAAAATCTTGCTACCTTGTCAGATCACATCTCCTAATCAGCTGTAAAGGAGGTTAATACTGCCCAGCACCTGGGGTTAAACACAACAATACAGAGATATTGCCTGGCACACAGCCATTCCTCAATGAGAGTGGTTATGATGGTGACAATGATTAACTTGTTATTAATATTCAGATGGTGACATAACAAGTGCCCATTTGTACTCTTTTTCCTGTCACTCAAACAGAGATTGCTAAACTTCCAAGACTGTCTATGCCTCACTGCCCACTCTGGCCCTTTCTTGGAAAACAAGACGAGGTCCCGTGTTCAGGCTCAGGTGCGGGCAGCAGGTGAATGTGGCAGAGCTTGGGCGGCCTTTACCATTCTACTATGGCCAGAGTTAATACATTACCTCCACCCGGGACCTGCTTTCGCAATCTCGATAGGAGTTGGGGATCTGGTTACAGATTTACTTCGAACAATGTCTGATATGTGGAGTAAAGTCCTCCTTGGCCTTTCTATAGCCATCTCCTCTTCTCTTCAGGAACTGCTCACACCTGTGACCCAGAGATGAGGGCCCAGGAGGACCCCGAGGGCCAGGCACAGGTGCTGGGGGATGAGTGGGAGCTGGGAGGGGCAGGATGGGGTGGGGGCTGGAGGAGCTGCACACAGGCTTCTCCCTGGGAGGGCAGAGACAAAGGTTCTTATAAACTTGATCAAGAGTGACTGTCCTAGGCTGAGCCTGGCTATTGGGGGATGGGGTGGGGGTGGCAGTGGGGAAGAAGGAGACTTCAGCTTAGGGAGTCGCTGACTCCAGCTTGAGTGCCAGTAGGGACACAACCTAATCCCCCACCCCCCAGCCACCCCAAGGACCTCCACAGTCTCCAGCCCTCTTGGTCCCCTTTCCTGTGTCCCCCCAGGCCGTCTGACTTAGGGGCCCATTCCCTTGGCTGGAATGCCTGAGTCCTGAGGGCTCCAGGAGCCAGCACAGTGGACTCATCCTGCACAAAGCAATGTGAGGTGGGAGCCAGGTAGAGCCAGGCCACGGGACAGCTGGGTGTATGAACCGTGAGGGGAGTGAGGAACCCAGGCTCAGACCCCATTAAGAGGAGCTGACAGGCCACTCAGGTACCTGATTGATTCTGGGGCAGAATCGACTTTCCAGTGTCCACCTCTCCATCCTGAGTTACTGTTCTCTGCTGCCCCCAGCATGAGGACCTGGGCCTAGCAGGGCCCTCCACGAAGGACCCCCCGGTGTCCCTGCCCACAGAGCCCAAGTTCGACATGCTGTACAAGATCGAAGATGTGCCGCCCTGGTATCTGTGCATCCTGCTGGGCTTCCAGGTGGGCTTCCCCGCAACAGCCTCCCCATTGCACACTCCCCAGCCCCTCCCGCAACAGCCTCCCCATTGCACACTCCCCAGCCCCTCCCTGGCCACCAAGGTTATCTTTGGCAACAGGAAGAGAAACCTAAGGTCAGCAACAGTGACTGTACCAAGCAGGGGTGGGGAAGAGGATTATGGGGTCCAAGAGAGGATTAATCCCCTGGGAGCAAGTATCAGTGACAGGGAGGAGGGCCCACTCCACAGAAGATGCAGGAATAATTTGGGGGCAGATAAGTAACCCCCAGCCAGGTGAGCAGGAGCCCTCCGGGAATTCCCCGTGAGAATGTCAGTCCTGGGTGGGTATGTTGCCTAGGGCAGCATGGCTTCAGGCCCACTGAGGCAGGCATGAGAACTACTAGGGGGCCCTGTTCCATGTGAGTTCTGTGGGTCTCATGCACTCCCCCACCCCCCAGCATTACCTGACATGCTTCAGTGGCACCATCGCTGTGCCCTTCCTCCTGGCTGAGGCGCTGTGTGTGGGCCGTGACCAGCACATGGTCAGCCAGCTCATTGGCACCATCTTCACCTGCGTGGGCATCACCACCCTCATCCAGACCACGCTGGGCATCCGGTGAGCTGCCCCACCCCCACCCCCACCCCCACCCAGACACACACACAGACACACACACAATGTAGCAGCAGCAGCTGGAGCAGGTGGTCTCTCTCAGAGGACTCATGGGACAAAAAAAGCTGCTCTCTGCCCCAACCTGCTGCTTCTTCTCCCAGGCCAGCCTTAGAGCCAGGCAGCTGGAGTCCTATCCTGGCACCTGGCACCCCTCAAGGACTAAGAGTCTGTGGATATAAGGGAATGTGCCTTAGCTGGGCAAGAATTGGGCCTGGAGCCCACTCGCCTAGCTGATTAACCCCTACTCATTAAGTCCTACTCGGGGACCACCCGCTTCCCTGCCTCCTGGCCTCTTCAATAGTCTACCTTCCTGGGGGCCCCTACCCCCTTGTGCACAACCCCAGGTGGCCAAAGCGTGGCGGTGTGGTAGGAGTAGGGAGGAAGGTTGTCAGTGCAGCGTGCATGCAAGAAATAAGCTGTCCACTTCTCTGCATTGGCCCCTCACGGTGCAGGAAACATGTTGAGAAGGAAAGGGGCAGGTGTGGGCAGGGGCTCCATTTGTTTTCTTTCTTGGGCCCCCCAAATGTTATAGAGTCCTGCCTGGGCCTCAAGGACTTCCCTCTGCTCTGCCCCTGCCCTGTCCCTATGTCTCTGTCCCTTTGTGTGATCCTTTCTGCCTCTCCCTCTCTGTGCCCCTCTTTCCCCATCTCCCCTGTCTGTGTCCCTGTCCCCCCCCACACCCCACCCTGCTCTGTGCCTCCCCTTCCAGGCTGCCGCTGTTCCAGGCTAGCGCCTTTGCATTTCTGATCCCAGCTAAAGCCATCCTGGCCCTGGAGAGATGGAAATGTCCCCCAGAAGGTGGGCACACTTCTGGGGTGTGCTGGGGGGGAGGGGGACAGAAGCCTGGAGGTCCAGACACCAGGATGCATTTATTGGCAGCAGCATCTTCTCTCCCTATGTCTCTGTTCCCTGTTCATATGTGTGTGTATCTCTGTCTCTGCCCCCAGAGGAGATCTATGGCAACTGGAGTCTGCCCCTGAACACTTCTCATATCTGGCACCCACGGATGAGAGAGGTGGGTTCCCACGTGGAGTAGAAGGGCAAAAGACAGGACTGAGGAGGGGGCTAAGGAGGGGGCTAGATGGGAGTAAGGGCCACAGGTGAACTGGGAGATGCAAGGTAGGTTAGTCCAGAGGCTTATTTTATTTTATTTTTTATTTTTTAATGTAGAGGTCATGGCTTTTACATAGTGACTTATAACTGACCTTCACTCTTCCAGGTCCAGGGTGCAATCATGGTATCCAGCATAGTGGAAGTGGTGATTGGGCTGATGGGACTGCCTGGGGCCCTGCTCAGCTACATTGGGCCTCTCACGGTCACCCCCACTGTCTCCCTTATTGGCCTCTCTGTTTTCCAAGCTGCTGGTGACCGAGCTGGCTCCCACTGGGGAATCTCAGCTTGGTGAGCGGCACCAGGATCGGTCCTTGCCCAGCCCCAGCCCCCTCACCCCTACATTTCCTTCCCCCTCAGTCCCGCCTTTTGCCCCCAGCCTGACCTACCAGCCATCTCTTCTTTGTGCCTCTGCCCTCAGCTCCATTCTCCTGATCGTCCTCTTCTCCCAGTACCTGCGCAACCTCACCTTCCTGCTGCCTGTCTACCGCTGGGGCAAGGGCCTCAGTTTCTTCCGCATCCAGATCTTCAAGATGTTTCCTGTGAGGAACTGACAGACAGCTGGTCTGGGACTAGGGCAGGGGCTGAACTTGTGTCTAGGGCCAAGGTGGGGGACAAGGGCTGGAAAAGCAGGGGAACTAGAGCCAAAGCAGAGATCCCAGCCAGGGACTGGAGCAGGTGTTGGGGCTGGGATCTAGAGCTGGGGCTGGAGCTGGGGCTAGGGGTAGGGCTGAGGTAAAGGCTGGTTAGCTTGGAACAAGACCTCCAGGGTCCTCAGTGTGCCCCTCCCCGCTCCCCCCCTTCAGATTGTGCTGGCCATCATGACCGTGTGGCTGCTCTGCTACATCCTGACCCTGACAGATGTGCTGCCCACAGACCCTACAGCCTATGGCTTCCAGGCACGAACGGACGCCCGAGGGGACATCATGGCTATTGCACCCTGGATCCGAATTCCCTACCCCTGTGAGCAATCCCACCTGGGCCCCTCTGCCTCTAACTCTGATCCCAGTACAGCTGATGATAAAATTAGCATTAGCTGCACATGTATAGTGTGCCAGGCAGAGTGCTGTTTAACTCAGACAAAGCCTCACTCCAGAGCTTCGTGATTCTGAGTGGTTCCAAATGAGCTCCCACAACTGTACAACTCCCACCCCAGCTTGAGATCCCTTTAGCCACCCCCCCCCCCCAAACTGCCTAGTCTACCTCCTAACCTACACAGGAGCACTGTATCCATCTTCTTGTCTCCCCTCAACCCAGGTCAGTGGGGCCTGCCCACAGTGACTGCAGCTGCTGTCCTAGGAATGTTCAGTGCCACATTGGCGGGTATCATTGAATCCATCGGAGATTACTATGCTTGTGCCCGCCTGGCTGGTGCACCACCCCCTCCAGTACATGCTATCAACAGGTATGCCCATCTGCCCTCCCCAATATGATTCCCTCTGAGGCCACTCAGGAAGCAAATGTGGGGACAGAGTTGAGTCGCAAAAGATGTGGACTTGAGCAAGTCACTAATACTCTCCAGGACCTCATTTTCCTTACCTATGAAATGGGGATGGATGCTCTCATCTCTCACCCTGAATGTTGTGAGCAGTTGAGGAGGTAATGAAGTCCAAGGGAAGCTAGTCATCGACAACCTTCCAAGTACCTATCCCTCAGTGTGTGTTCTTTTGTGATATCCACCAGTGACTGTGAGGCAGCTCCCTTATTATCCCCGTTTGACAGAGGAGGAAATTGAAACCCAGAATCGCCAAAGGGAGTAAATGCCAAGGCACTGCATTAGTGCTCAGACCTGGGCTCCTGGCTCCCAGACCTCCCTTTGCCCTGGAGTGAAGAATATAATACAGATAGGTGCAGCTTTCGCAGAAGGCAGCACCCAGCCAGGGTAATGGGCAGAGCCTGGACCAAATCCTCCCAGCTCATGTTTCTTACAGGGGCATCTTCACCGAAGGCATCTGCTGCATCATCGCAGGGCTGTTGGGCACCGGCAATGGGTCCACCTCGTCCAGCCCCAACATTGGGGTCCTGGGGATTACCAAGGTGCCTCACCGAACCAGAAGAGCACAGAGCCCCACCCCGCCTCCATTTGCCGCAGACCCCGCCCCAAGCCGGTCCACACTTTGGCCTACCCCCACCCCGTCTTTAAGAGGCCCCCTCCCACACCCCTTCCCCCGCCCTCCATCGCGCTGCATCAAGCCCCTGCCCATTTGAGCCTCCCTCTTAACACAGGCTCCGCCCCCCTCATCCCACCCCGCCCCAGAACTCACCCCTTCCCACCTATCCTCTTGGATATAGCCCCACCCCCTGGCTCCCTGGCAGGTGGGCAGCAGGCGCGTGGTGCAGTATGGTGCGGGCATCATGCTGGTCCTGGGCACTATTGGCAAATTCACAGCCCTCTTCGCTTCGCTCCCTGACCCCATCCTGGGGGGCATGTTCTGCACCCTCTTCGGTGAGTGCTGCTCGCGGATCCTGGTGACAGCGCGGGTCGCTGAATGGTGGAGCCCACCCAGCCCGCGCCAGGCCTCTCCAGCGGTTCTCCTGTGCACTCAGGCATGATAACCGCTGTGGGGCTGTCCAACCTGCAGTTCGTGGACATGAACTCCTCCCGCAACCTCTTCGTGCTCGGATTTTCCATGTTCTTTGGACTTACACTGCCAAATTACCTGGAGTCCAACCCCGGCGCCATCAACACAGGTGCCCCCACCTGTCTGAATGTCACTGCGGGTAGGGTAGGTGTGGTGGGCTTGACTTTCAAAGGTTCCACGCAGCTAGAGCAACAACTGCGCAATTCTGGATGTTAATCAGCAGTCGAGAAGCTAATTAGCAGGTGTCCTTTACTAAGACACTTTCTGTGGACAGGTATTGAGCTTTACATGTGCTCATTTCATTTTCACAGCAGCTCCATGAGATAGATACTATCATTTCCACATCAGATGAGGAAAGTGAGGCTTAAATGATTTGTCCCATGACAAGTAGGAACTAACTTGCAAAACTGGGATATGAGTCCAGGGGTGGGAGAGGCAGAGGTGCAGACAGGCTTACAAGTCGGGGTTTGTAGCGTCCCACCATCCAGCTCCATACCTGCTCCAGGAAGTCAGCAGGCTGCGCAAGTAGAGGGCCATCCCTGAGGTCTGTTCTCCAGGGCGGTCATGACACCTACTGGCCTATTCCACAGGTATTCCTGAAGTGGACCAGATTCTGACTGTGCTACTGACCACGGAGATGTTCGTGGGTGGGTGCCTTGCTTTCCTACTGGACAACACAGTGCCAGGTATGCGTCAGCTCTGGGAGGGAAATAGAATGAGGCTGGGCTCATCTGCACTTCAACAGATGGCCCCTGAACCAGAGCTGTGGCTGGGTCCAATGCGATGTAGGTAGGGAGAAGCAGGGAACAGATGGGCTGATGGAGCGCCCACTGGCTGGCGGGAGAAACTGGCCAGCCAGGTACTGGCATGCCTCATAGGTTCTGAAGAGAGTGGGACTAGGAGTCACTCCAGGGCCTTTGTGTTTTCCTCTCCATTTTGTGCTAGCCACTGGGGTGAGGGGCGCCTTCGCTTTATTAGGACAGATACAAATGCAGCTTTCGTTTTTTTTGGCAAAACCCACTCCAATGCAAGTAGCCTGCAACAGTGGCTAATAGGAAGAGTCCTAACTTTCTTTGCTATTATTAGGGCTTTTTGGAGGGATTGTGGAGGATACTTTGTGAGTGTTCCCGAGAATCCTCCTAGACCAAATTTATGTGCCCAGTAAATATATAAAAAATAAATGTCACCAGGTGTCCTAACTAGTAACAAACATTGTTAACATTTACCAAACATCTTCTAAGGGTCAGGCATGGAGCTAAGCATCTCAGCCTCAAAATCTATCCTGTGAGGCAGACTATCAAGTGACTCACTGAAGGTCACTTCTGCAGATTTGTAACTTTGCAGATCTGGGATTTTAACCAAGTCCATCTGATGCAGTCTGTGGCCTGTGTATCAGTCATTGTACCACATGACCTCGGCTAGAGGGTTTCAGGGGAACTGGAAGGTCAGGGAAAGCTCCAGGGAGAAAGGGTAAAGACTGCATCAGTCCAGGGAGATGAGGGATGGGAACAGCAGGACGGCTCTCTATCCCCCACCATTTGCCAATTTAAACATGGCAGCAGACCCCACTTGCTTCCCTCTCTCTGAAGATACAAGTCAGAGGCTGGCTATGCACAGCTGGTGGGTTGGAGTGTGGCAGGCAAGAGACAGGGCTCCCTGGCACTTTTAGACAGCATCAGATGGTGAGGGAGCTCTTGGTAACAGCATTGGATGGATGGGTGGTAACTGATCATGGTACCCACCTCTCCTCATGTAGAGGAAGCTCGGCTGGAGACTGGAGTAGCCCATCCTGTGAACCTGAAACAGGAAATTTGCAGCCTCAAGGCCTAGGGAATCTGGGGAGTTGGAGGGCATCAGGTGGGCAGCTATAAACTGAGCTTCTCTGTGATTTGGGTGGCTGGATTAAGCTAACCAGATGTTAACAGTCTTACATCCCATCCTTCAATCCAACTGCCCATCAGCAACCATCCTTGCTAGATTATATATTATACCACATAATCTTCAACAGTCTTTCAATATACACTGATGAAGAATCTGACGCTTAGATTAGTGAAATTACTTGCCTAAGGTAGTACAACCTGGATTCCAGCCCAGGTCTGGCTAGCTCAGAACTCAAGTCCTTACCATGGAATCAGTTTTCTTTTGTGGGATGAGAACACGTTGCTGATATACCACTTTGCATTTGCTCTTTCTCTTTACCTAGCCACAACCCAACCTTAGAGGGGAAGCCAATTTAGTCCAAATGGTAGAGGAACTTACCAGTTTGGCTCTGGGTTAGACACTAAAGGAGATGTGCCAAAAAAAAAGTGTTTGTCTGTTTTGAGGAGCTCCTAGCACAAGACAGGAAGTAAAACTGAGTTTAAAGCAATTTAAAGCAGCAAGATCAATAAGCCTGGGCTGGAGTCATCTGGAGCAGTGGTCGCCAACCGGTGGTCCCTGAGGTCCGAAAGGTTGGCGACACCTGATCTGGAGGGTTTCCTGGTGTCTAGAATAGAAGGGACTTGGAAAAGCAGAGAGCACTACAGCTAGGGAGGGATATGAAAGGTAGGTGAGGGAACTCTGGGCTACCTGTTGTGTGTCCTAGCAGCGATGGGGAGGAGGTGCCATCAGCCAACAGAGTCCTGTGCCACACCATCTCTTCCCCTTCCACTCTGCCTACCTGTGCTCTTTGTGCAGCCAGGCCCAGCTCAAACAGCACCTCCTCCAAGTAGTCTTCCTTGAGGACCCCAGCCCTCCCTTAGTGCCCTCTCCCCTGAGTCTAGGACACATTTCATTTGCATTACTCATGGGGGCCTCAAGCTGGGTTGCCAGCATATGGAAATCTCACTCTCATCATAGACTTACACTGTGCCAGTCTTCATCAACCAGCCCTCTTGTGAAAACCTCAGAGATCTCATGCACCACTCCCCACTTTGTAGGGCAAATTCCCCTACTTGTAAAAAATCCCTGCCACCACTACTGAAGATTTTACTTACCTTGACTTTCTGAGGTTGTATTATAAAAACAAGAGTTTATTTTCCAAATATAAAATCATATTAACACTGATTATAGTGTTTCAATATACACCAACCTGCCCCCACAGCAGAGTCTGGGCACTTTATGGTATCCAACAGCCCAGCACACACTAGCCCCATATTCAAGATGTAGGATGACAACTACTTAGCCTTTCTGCCAGTTTCTTCATCATAAAATTTTGTGCAGTAGTGCCTTTACACCTCCTTCAGATATATTTTGAAGAAATAAGATAATGAAATTAAGGCACTTAGCACAGAACCTGGCACATTACAGGTACACAATAAACACAAATTATAACCATATTCTTTAGGGTTCCCTAGAGCTCTGGCCAAGTTAGCAGCTGAAAAAACTAATTCAACTGTTTTTAGAACCAGAAGATATTTGAGAGTCAAGACACTCAATTCCAGAAGTCTTTTTCAGAATAGATGGGAAGGGCAGGAGCTGATGGTGACTGGCTTTGATATGGACCCCACTGTGCTTTTCCAGGAAGCCCAGAGGAAAGAGGCCTGGTGCAGTGGAAAGCTGGGGCCCACGCCAACAGTGAGATGTCTACCAGTCTCAAGAGCTATGATTTCCCCTTTGGGATGAACATGATAAAAAGGATTGCCTTTCTGAAATACATTCCTATCTGCCCAGTCTTCAAAGGATTTTCTTCAAGGTCAAAAGATCAGCGTCCAGTTCCAGAAGATATTTCAGAAAATAGAGAAACTGGGCCTGTGTGCACCAAGGTCTGAAAAATTACTCCCAGGAAAGGTAGGATGTGTTAGTCTACGGCTTTTGTGTGAGGATTGAAAAATCACATTCTTATATACTTTAACCAAAGGAAAACCAAACTACTTGGTTTCCCTTTTTGTGACCTATTTGAGTGTCTTCAAGGGGAAAGTAAACTGGGTTAAAAAGTCAATATATGGATTTTGAGTAGAATTCCTTAGCCATTTTATAAGTGAGAGTGGAACTTCCCAACTGGTGGGACACTAAGAGATCACAGTATGCTGCAATACTGATCCCCTCAGCCTTCTGGTTATCTGGGCAGAAGCTGGATCAACTGATATAAACTCCAGCCACTGGCAGCCAGCCTCACCTCTGCACTCCCATATACTGAATAAATAACACTTTATGACACGGAAAAGGTTGAGAAATACTGACATAGCACAAGAACCAGAAAAATTCTCTCATATGCCTTGTTTCAGTAATGGTCAAAAAATAAAAACAGGATGACTTTCGTTACCCTAAAACTGTACCATATAGGCCCTGGGGTGATAATCTGTCTCAAGGATTTCAAAATGAAGTAGCAATGCTTTGAAACTTTCCATCTCTACCTATCCCAAATGCAGGTGCCGGGCTCTCTAATTAAACATCAGAGTAGTTTTAATGTGCATGTTCCTTAAGAAAAGTTCCAACAAAATGAGTAATAATCCCTTAAATAGAACTTTCTATGTGCTAGAAATTGTCTTAAGTGCTCGATGTATATTAACTAATCACACAATTCTAAGACAAATATTGTTATTGCTACCATTTTAAAGCAGTGGAAACTAAGTCACAGAAAGGTTAAGTGACTTGCCCATGATTTACTGGATTCACAGGAAATCTGGCTAGTCTTTGCTCTTAATCATTAGGTTATAATGCCTAAGTTTATAATCTCCAAGTTTATTGCATTACAGTAATTTGGCAGTATGTGGAAATATGTCTGAGCTGAGAGAGAAAAAAGGATCTGTAAGCCTCATGATTTGGCAGCCTTCAGTGCCACTTGTGGTACTGAGCTCTTAGAAAACAGAGGAGACTGGTTACATCATGGCCCCAAAAAGAACGAGAACTAAGCAGGATCATCTGCTTCAGTTTCTTAAAAAAACCTATCTGTTTATTAATTTGTTACATTAGCTATTAAAAACCACTGGGGCACAGTTGCTCACACCCAAGGATCCCCAGGGAGAATGTGAGCCAGAACTGATTAGATGGCCCTCTTAATCTTGAGCTCAACAAAAAAGCACAGAGGACATTATTAACAACTGAGTAGGGCCATGAGGCAGAATTGTATGTGAAACCAAAAAATTGCTAGTTGGTTGACAACCTATCCCAAATTAAGATTAGCCACAAACATCTACATATATAAAAGCCTAAGCGACCGTTAAGATCGGTCGCTATAACCCGCACTGACCACCAGGAGACAGATGCTGCCCCCAGCAGGCCCCAATCACCTGATTGTGGCCAGGCCTCCGGGCTGGGATGGGGAACCGGGGGTGGGTGGCAGCAGACATGGTCCCTTTCCCAGGGGGCCGAAGGCCAGCTCCTTCCTTGGGGCTGGTGGCCAACCTCCCAGGCCCCTCCCCCCATCCCTCCCCTGGCTGGCAGGCCCCAATCGGCCCACCACCAACCCACCCACCCACCCACCCACCGTGGTGGTGGTTTGCCTCCCCACCCACCCCCACCCCCGGCCAGCAGGCCCCAATCAACTGATCGGGGCTGGGCCTGGGCTGGGGAACTGGGGGTGGGTGGTGGCAGATGCAGGTGGCGAGGGAAGGAGGCAGCGGGAAACCTGATCGGCCCTGATCGCCAGTCAGGCCTAGGGACCCCACCAGTGCACAAATTTCATGCACCGGGCCTCTAGTATTATATAAATAAGCTTGTGAGGGGAAAAAGGGGAAGGTCCCAATGAATTAAAATAGCAAACCAGTCCAATTAGATCAGCAATGATTTGTGAAGGGAAGAAGCCAATGAAGGTTATAGTAGAGTAAGATTATACTGGTCTTATAGTAAGACACTATACTGGTCAGCCTAAGTTTCTTAACATGGATATCCTATAATTGCCCTAACATTATAGCCTGAGGGGATCAACGTGAGTTACAGTAGGGGCTGTGTGATTTATTTTGCCGTTGTATTTTAAATACTTATACACTTAGATGCCTGGTGCATAAATTCGTGCACAGGTGGGGTCCCTCGGGGTGGCCTGCGGGGATTGGGCCCCAGCTCGTGACCCCAGCCTCATAGCCCTGCAGCCCTGCCTGGCACCCTGCCTTGGCCTGGTGCCACCCCCTCACCTGTTCCACCATCCCGCCTGTGGGTCAATTGATTGGGGCTGGGCCTCCCACCCCCCACTGCTGCCAATGGTCACCGTGTTTGGGGCGATCGGGCCCCTGCTCGCACCTGCCTCGGCCTGGCGCTGCCTGCCACCATCCCGCCACAGTTCCGCTCTCGTCGGGGCCCATCGGGGCCAGCAGCACCTCCACTGCCACTCGCTGCCAGCACCACGTCACTGACGCCTGCCATGTTCTGCGCCGCCCCTGGTGGTCAGCGCATGTCATAGGGAGCGGTCAAGCTCCCGGTTGAGGGTACAATTTGCACATTAGGCTTTTATTATATAGGATATTTGATACAATGGGATCTAACAAGTCTGTTCCCTCAGCAACTCTTGCCAGCAGGGTTGTCCTGAGGGACTGAGCCCACATTAAAGTGCAACTCACCACTGGAGAGTCTGCATTCAGCATCAATAAACACAACCATCAGCTCAGTTCTACTATTATTTATTTTTTTAAATATTTTTGAAAAAATATAATTTTTTTACAATATTTTCAACTTAAACACTATTCACACTGAACACGTATGGCAGCTTAACCTACCCAAATATGAAGTTTAAGAAGCCAAAACTGTTCTAGCTTTGTTAAAAGAAAAGTTGTGCTGCAGACTACTGTAGTGATGGTTAACAAAGCAAGGAAAAGCACCACTCAAATCACGTTACAATTTCTTTGTTCAATTAGATTATGGGTTGGTCAAATGTTAGACTACACGAAGGCATAGCTACAATAAGAATTGTAGAAGATGCAATTCTCAAATCACATACTCTCTCAGATGTATTTCTTACATGATAACATACCATAAAAGCCAAGACTAGATCTAATCTGATCACTACCTTGTAACATCAGTGACCAAAGACAGATGTGTCTACAATGGATTATTTCAAATTAACAAGCCTTCCTCAGAAGATTCTTTTTGATGGGCGTAAATTTCAGTCTGAGAAATTTGCTTAACTAGAACTTAATTTAAATTTACTGATTTAAAAAAAGTTTAGAATTATTAGCGAGTGCTAGTTAAACCTAAGGGACCAGTTTAGCCTCAAAAAAGACAATTCACTAAGATTTAAAGGTCATTTAATTTGGTGCTTTGTCATAACTTGACTGGTGCTTCCTCCTTGCTGTCTTCACATCCAGCCATGGGGCCAATTCTATTTTTCAGTAAATGTTTGACAGCTTTTTACTTAATAACAGTCTCAGCACTTTTATTAAGCATGCAAGACTAACAAAACTTTGGCAATGCATAAGTGTAACACAGTGACAAGAGAGAGCTTTTACAATTAAGTCTTCTAATACTGCCTTCACAGTGTGGAAATTGTGCTACATCCACCAAAAGAGGGCCCCGTCTACTCAAATATTTTAGTACTTCACCCCAGGAACAAACTCCTTTGCATTTGGATTCAGATTGCTCTTGACCTGGAAAATAAGTACATAAAAAAGCAAGTTCATTAACAGATAGCTTCAGATACTCAGAAGCATTTAACCTAGATCCACATGCAAAAACATCTTAAAAAAACCCCCAAGACAAAAGCAAGAACTCAGATTGATAAACTTAACCCCAAAATATCTTTGGCTAGGAGGGCAGGAATCAGATGTAAGCTATATTTATTATATCAAATTTATCAACTTTCTAAAGAGCAAGCAGGAATTGAAATTAATTTTGCTTAAGTGTAAACAGAAACCTGCATAAACGAAAAGTGTAGAACAAGGAATTTTGTTCCTTTACCTGTAATATTTGACTTCCTTTGAGCAGTTTCATAATATGCAAAAATATTAAACAAGTATTAAAATGATGATTAAGCCCTAACCGGTTTGGCTCAGTGGATAGAGCATCAACCTGTGGACTCAAAGGTCCCAGGTTCGATTCCGGTCAAGGGCATGTACCTTGGTTGCAGGCACATACCCAGTAGGGAGTGTGCAGGAGGCAGCTGATCGATGTTTCTCTCTTATCGATGTTTCTAACTCTCTATCCCTCTCCCTTCCTCTCTGTATATATTTAAAACAATAATAAAAATAAAATAAAAATAAAATGATGATTAAAGTGACTGGGAAGTGTTTATAGATTAATTTCATTTTAAGGTCTTCATTAAAAATGTGAAGTTATCTTTCAACAATTGTTGTATTCTAATTCCCACAGGAAGCATGGTATTTAATAGGAAAAGAAAACTACCTGGGGAGTCAGAAGGCCTAAGCTGGAACCCCAGCTCTGGCCCTAACTTCCTATGTAAGCCTGGCAAAGTCACTCTCCCTGGGACTTCATTTTTCCATCAGTGAGAGAAAGAAAAGGCCAAAGTTTCCAAGAACCTTAGAGACTTGTACCAGCATTATCCTATATTTCTAAATCTTTACTTTCCTAAGCAGATATGTCAGCAGATAGGGAATAGCTGGACATTTTCCTCTACCACATCTTGGAATGCAAGTTGAAAAAGATAAAAAAGAAACCAGGATGGTTTCCAGGGACTGAAATGCAGGCATTCCGGAAGGCTTTTAGACTAATTCTGAGCTCCCTATGTTGTTTACTTCAAGACCAAAGCACATTAAACATGTTGGAGCAATAATTTAATCTTGGTTTCATAATTTATACATATACACAACCATTTCCTTGCACAGGACATATTCTTTCTTATTTCAAAGGAAATATATATAAAAGTGTGAGGTTAAAAAAAATAAAATAAATAAAAGCAGTGTTCTTGCTTGGCAGGTGTGGCTCAGTGGTTGAACGTTGATAAATGAACCAGGAGGTCACAGTTCGATTCCTGGTCAGGGCACATGCCTGGGTTGTGGGCTTAATACCCAGTAGGGGATGTACAGGAGACAGCTGATCAATGATTCTCTCTCATCACTGATGTTTCTATCTTT